TTTTTTTTTTTAATTTAAGAGCATTGTTTTGTATTTTTCCATAGGGGGTGTTGGCTAGGAAAACGGCGTCCTCACCCTACATAAATGTGCCTCTAGCAGAGGGTCTTCAGAGAAACTGCAAAAGATGATTTTCTCTCAGCTTCCTTGTTGGGTAAAAAAGTACTATTTTCAACAGCAGAGTCATTGGACTGCCTGGTACATGAAAGGCATATTTTTTTAAAATATGTTTTTATTGATTTCACAGAGAGAGAGATAGAAACATCAATGAGAGAGAAACAAACATCAACCGGCTGCCTCCTGCACACCCTCTACTCGAGATCAAACTCACAACCTGGGCATGTGCCCTGACCAGGAATTGAACTGGTGACCTGGTGCATGGGGCAACATTCAACCAACTGAGCCACATGAGCCAGGCAAAAACGCATATTTTTAAATAAAATCATAGAATATTAAAGATCATCTAATGTAGTCCTAAGGATTTGAAGAACCACACAGGCCTGAGAAGTGAAGGGGGGCTTCAGTTGCCTGGCCCTTCACAAACCAGCTTCTCTTTTTCATCTATTACTGAGCTTCCATGCTATAGATTTCATTTGAACAAAGGGTTCCACAGCTGAACGTTTAAAATACCAGTTTAGGTCAGTCTTCTCATTTTACACAAAAATAAACTTGAGGCTCAGACAGAAACAGTGAATGTGACATAGTAGAAAGAGCATTTGAAATCAGATAGCCTTAGGTTCAAATCCCAGCCTTGTCCCTATCTAGCTGTGTGACCCTGAGCAATCATTTTACCTCTGAGCCTAATTTCTTCATTTGTAAAAAGACAAAATCTACATCACAGGCTTCTATAGGATAACATACAGGTAGTGCTAAGCACAGTGCTATATCCAAAAGTCAATGTGCAACTAATGTTGGTTCTCTACTGGCTCTCCATTTGGACGCACAGAACTAATTAGTGGTGAACTCAGTGAGGGTCCCAGGTCTCTTGTTTCCAAGACACTGTGCTGATTCATTTTGTACAAAAGTTTATGGTGTCTTTGAACATCTGCCTTTAGTAAATGGTTCAGATTGTTTGTTTTTCATGTCTTTTTAAGGTACTAACATGGGATGTGGGGAAAATTACTCCACAAAAGCTCCCAAGTCTTAAGGGACTGGTGAATTTACAGTCTGGAGCACCCAAGCCAGAAGAAAATCCAAGCCTCAACATACAGTTCAAGATCCAGCAGCTTGCTATTTCAGGTAAGGATGAATTTGGTTTGTGTTTAAGGGTAATTGGGTTCTGCTGAGGTCAACTACCAGGAGCTTAGAAGGGTAACACTCCCTCCCTAGAAAGAATAGCTCCAGTTTGCCTTTCACATTGCTATGGGGCCAGCCTCTCAGGGGCAGTGATTTTAGAGAGCACCTGTTTCACACAGTTTTCCTTTACCCCAACCCTGATTCAAGCACCAAAGGAGTTCTGCATTCAGAAAGTAGACTTAACCTTAAAAGACATTCCTTGCCCACAAGGGACTCTGAACTGAATAATATCCCCACAATGCTGTAATTTGTATATGGTAGAAGGGATATTGTTTCCAAGTGGTGTAAGGGACACTGGTTACTGTCAGATTTACTGTGTAGTGCTCGCTGTTAACAAATACTGTATTGGTTGATGTGACCAGGATAATAATGTATTCTTTTCTCACCTGTTCTTTTTGACACAGGCTTAAAAGTAAACCGCTTGGACATGTATGGGGAGAAATACAAGCCATTTAAAGGAGTCAAATACGTCACAAAAGCTGGAAAGTTCCAAGTGAGGACATGAGAAGAGGCCAAAATCCTTCAAGATCTGTTTGTTTTCTCAGTGTCATTATAGTTTATTACTTTGAGGTACCAAGTGGGTGGGAATACTTATTCTAGTTAAAGCATTTGTGTGAGCTACACGCCGCTAACAGAGTTGCTTAGTGCTCCATGTAGGGTTCTTAAGGAGCTTTAAGCTAAGGTAATTTTTTAATAACTTAGCTTGTTTTGTATCTCTTACTTAGGAAGATTTTGGGGGTGATTTTCTCCATAGGAGGCACCAGCTGGAGGTTGCACATTGTAACAGTAAAGACAGAAGGCTACAGTGATAACCTCTCTCCTAAAACAAGTGAACTGATCTCAGCCAGCAGCTGTCTTCATCTGTAATGTGATGTGTCAAGTGCAGCCAAATATCACACCTGATCTTAGCCATCCCAAATCAGCATCTGTTCCAAGAGGAAATTCCCTCCACCCCAAGAAGTTTACAAAAAAACTGCCTCTTCAAGTGTTTGCCTTATTCAGCTTTTCACTTGTGCCATTAAGCAAGCACTGTAGCAGAAGCCACCTCCACATGCCCTGGCAAGGAGCATTGCTGCTCCACGCTCCATTCTCACTGTACTTGGTATTGTATTTTTTATAAATAAGATTTCTATGTAAAGCGCAGATTTTAATTTACAGAGACCTTGCTGCAGTAAGTACCATCTCAGTTTTGCACCATCGATTCAGCTGTTAGCACAGTAAAAATCATTTGTATGAAAGGGGCAAATGCTTTATTAAGGTAATATAAGGGAACACTACTGCTTTTAGGAAATTATTGCAAGCACAAGTGTTTGAGATTTTAAATAAATTAAAGTAGTAAAATAAGAATGTAAGTGAACCTTTGCCATCTTCATGTTTTATAAAGCTTATCCAACACCAATTAAACCATAGTTAGCCTAAAGGCCTCATGCTGTAGATCAGCAAAAGGAGGAAAATATGCCTGCCTCACTATGGTCTTTCATCTTTTTTGTTATTTTTACTTTTTTATTTATTGAAGTGACATTGGTTAATAAATTTATATAGGTTTCAGGGGCACAATTCTATAATTACATCATCTGTATATTGTACATTGTATTGTGTGTTCATCACCCCAAGTCACATGTCCTTCCATCACCATTTATTCCCTCTAACCTTCTTCTTCCTTCCCACACCACCCTTTCCCTTTGGAAATAACCATACTGTTGTCTGTGTCTATGTGTTGTTTTTCTTAAGGGGTTGAATTTGCCTGTGTCCCTTGTCTTTCAAGGGGAACTCCCTTTTCATATTGTGTGTTTCTCAAAGCTATGGTCAATAGCTTCCGTCCTAAAACTATTATTGTAATTGTCACTGGAGTACTTACATGTCTCTGCTGTACTGACAAATCATGTAGAAGAACATAGTGAGACAGAAATAAAATCCTCAGTAACATTTAAACCGTTTGATCATCATGGTCGGCTGCCAGTCTACAGTTGTATTCCACTCAACTTCACTGGCTTAGTAGTCCTTGCCCAGTTATTTTGCCTCATTAGACATGAAGAATGGAGAAAGGCTAAAAGTTAAGATATAAGTGCTTGTTCTTCATATTTTCCTCCTTGTCCTTACCTATGCTATTAGATTTCTTCTTATGACTCCATTCTTTTCATTCTTCTCAGCTTATACCTGCCTTTTCTTTATGTTAAAGGTAGCCCTGACACTCATCCCATTCTGCTGTCAAGGACTAGTGTTTGGTGCTGGTGCGGGGAGGCCAATAAAAGCAACATTCTTACCTTTGCCTGCCTAGGGCACCCAGCCTACCTTTCATCTAGCAGGAAAAGTCACTTTTTGCAACTTTGAAATTTCTAGAGCACAGGCCCGTGTTATTCAGTTGGTTAGAGAGTCAGCCCAAGCATCAGAGGGTTGCAGGTTCAATCCCCAGCCCCACCAGGGCACGTGCAGGAGGCAACCACCAGTGTTTCTCCCCAACTCCTTTCTCCCTCCACCCTCCCTTTCTCCCTCCCTCCCTCCCTCTCTCTCCACCTCTCCCTCTACCTCTCTCCCTCCCTTTTACTCTCTCTAATAATCAATGGGAAAAATATCCTCAGGTGAGGATTAACAACAAATAATTTCCCGGGTAGCATCATCAGCTTGGCAGCTAAAACCAAGATGTTGCCAAATATTGATTGCCTTTTCTTAGGTTGGCTACCCAATTAAACTACTTTTTATTTTTAGTGTTTTACAAAGTTCATACCTCAAAAGAACAATCAGTTCATTTGCTTTCTTTCTGCCGAATCCCTAATCAGCCATCTGTACCCGGTGTCCGATTTTCTTTCTGTGCTGTCTCCTCTTATCTACAAGCAGATTGTATGCCAAGAGTCCCTTGCCTCTAGCGATTTCCGATAAAATTTCCAAATAGACTATTTCCTTTTACAATTAAATTATTGTATTTATTGATTTGATGGAACCCAGTAAATCCTTCCTCCAGCTCTGGCTATACTGTCAATAAAAAGATGAAAGCAACAAAGTGACTTTTTAGCTTGACTGTTGATTGAGCATCCAAGGGGCAGGTCGCAGTGTCAGAGCAAGCACAGCCTGATGAGACTGTTCTGTCGTACCCGGTGTGAAGGTGGCTAAAAGCACTTCCAGTGCTCCTCTCTCAACCTCGGCGTGTTAACCGTCATGCATACGTTCTCTACACATCACCCATCACCCTTTTGGCCACAGATTGATCAAAGCTGCTTCTCCCTACCACCATGTACTAATAACAAAGATGCAGTAATACTTAGTAGTATTGGACTATTTTTCAAGCTCAGAATTCTAGCTAATCCCAGAATGGCTCTGCTTTCTAAATTGTTAAAGGAGTGTATCTTAAGAGCAAATGAAGTAGATGCTCATTTTCTGTGTAAGGGAGTCACCATCCTTTTACTCAAAGGGAATTCATGTGATGGGTTTGTTCCTTAAGTGGTACGAGAGAAGAGCCTTTGGAAGACATTTGTCTCACTGCCCTCGGGGTATTCTGATTTGAGAAAATGACTAACCTATAATACAGCAGGAAGGCAGCACCAATGAACACAGGGTGAACTGCAAAAATGAGACCATGAATCCTGTTTTCAGATACTGCTGAGCTGACTCAGTAGCTTTGGACATTTCCTGTGGACTCAAGCAGCTAGACTCTGCCTCCCTACTCAGTAACTTTTCTAAGCTGAAGCAACACTAACTATAGCCTTTTGATGATATTTACCCCTTTCAGACCTAGCAAACCAAACAAAAACAGTGATAGCCCAGCTCTCCTCCAGGAACCTGGCTCCTACTCTTGGTCAGTGCTTCCTCCAACAGGAGGAATATGACCAAACAGTCCTGCACAGGTAACACCTTCAGCTCCTTAGGGGATGGTGATAGCCTCCAGGGATAGCTAGAATCGTCTAAAATGAGGCAGACTACTTTGCATCACCTGCTGCTTTCCTCCTCTTGTTAACCTCTGTCACTTTTGCTCCTAGTATATAATCCCCAAAGGTGTCCTTCATTGCACAGATCTTTGTTAAGTAAACATACTGCTGGTTTCTACTACTTACAGCACAACATTAGGCTTGAGGATTAGTTCCACTGGCTGTTTTTCAAAACTAAGGAGAAATCTGACCTAAAAGTTCTTGCTAAAATATCATTTAAAGCATTATTTATACAAATGCACTTTATTGTTTTAAACAGAACAAAAGAAAAGGCAGAAAATATTTGCATATAACAAATCCTAGCTTATAAATGTAGTTTTAGTGGTGATGTCTAATCATTTGGGGTTTTTTGTTGTTTCGTGTTGTTGTTTTAATTTGCTTCACTGTGTCTTGAGCACTGATATTAGAGAAAAGCACATTGGCATAAAGGGTAAACCAGTGTCTCAAAACACTGGAAGAACTGGAAGTGTTTTATTTCCTCTAGGTAATCTTTAGTAAAACAAAAGGTGATCTTTGGCATAGATTCATACTTTAAAGGCATTAATATTGCATTTATATCAAGTAAGCAACTATCCAAATATGCTGAGGGCCTTGAAAATAATCTTCACCAGTTAACAGGAAATAGAGGAAGCCTGAGTGTACAGTACCAGGTCTTACACATTCCATGTTGGGATCTACCACGTTGGATTCAGGCAAGGGTTCTTCCTCCTCTGCTCACCCAGTTCTGGCTTTGGGGAGAAATATGCTTTCGTGTGCTGGGGATGCTTAGACCGCAGTGATAAAAGCAAACGAGGGAAAGCTCTTCTCTCTCCTTTGCAAATAGGAAACGTATGGTAATGAGTTAATACTTTACCCATTACTCTCTTGAACAATAGGACTTGGGAGGGGCAGAGGATGCAAGGGGCTTGGTTGTAGTTGGTTGAGGGAGATTGAAATTACTGAGGATTATTTCCCATTGATTCATCCCCAACAGCGCCAGAATTCCAGTCTGCAAGTACCACTCACTCTCCCTGGGGTAAGAAGTGTCCTTCAGACAGGACTGCCTGTCCAGTAAACACTCCTGGGGGGCAAGCACCAATTCTTAGGACTGAATTTCAAAAGGATCTTTTCGAAATTACAGAAGAACAAACATGTATCTTTAAAAATCTTGTTTAGGCAGGGTGTGGGGCAAGAATATAAAAGCAAGGATAGGAGACATGATTTGGTTAAAAATTAAGTGCAGCATTTCAGCTCAGAACAATACGAGTTAAGAGTGAATAAGGCCTCAGCACAGACCGCTGCCGGCAGTGACAAAGCATGAAGCGCCTGGGAGTGGCCCTGCTGGGATGATGGGCAGAGCGACTCCCGGCACCTCTGCCCTCCAGCGGCAGAGAGCACCAGGACACAGTGTGTTCATGGGGTGGCTGCCTTGGCTGGCCATAGCAGGGGGATAGGGACGAGGGGTTTCCCTAGCACAGGAGCACAGAGAAGACAATCGTGATTCTGTGATTTCCTCCCGACAGACTGAGGTTTGATTTTATCCTGTGGGAAACTAGGAGTAAATTGTGGAGGGGTAGGAAGTGAATCCAGGACCCATATACTGAGGCTCCCCCAGAGGCCAGCTTCCCCTACAGCAGTGAGGCTCACTTCTAAAGGGTCCAGGTAGCACAGCCAGGGGACACCAGCAGGTCAGCAGCAACATGGAAAGCCCAAAACAAATTTTGGAGGCATGGTGATTCCTTCTTAACTGACTTGCCTGGGCCCTGGGTCTCGGGAGCCTGGGGGGTTGGGGCGGGGGGGAATAGGGAGCAGGGAAAGGAAGCAGGGCATTGTACCCTGGAACAAGGACAGAGCAGGGTGTCTGGCTAGTGTTCACGCTTGGATTCTGAGCTTATGTGACGTCCATGGGCTAGAACCCAGTCTGCCTATTGGGAGCATGTGCAGGAGTATAACTGTTTGAGGATGCAGACACATTTCAGAGTGTCCATGACAAGAGAATAAATGCTTTCTAATGTGAAGAGGCCCCATTCCTTTCTGTTATATCAGGCCAGGATGTGGCTTTCAACCCCCCAGCAATTCTGGGTGGCTCCTGGAGCTCAGATCATTTTCATACTGTTTAGTAGGGGTTTCTGTGCCAACCAGGTTCAACCGGGTGCCTACTGGTACCAGGGAGTCTTTCTAACCCAGCGCAGTGTAAATCCAGCATCAGTTCGAATTTTGATTGAAGCTGCTTCTGCCT